TTGGTTGAGCGACTGCCTTCGGCTCAGGTCATGATCCTGGAGTCCTGGGATCGAGTCCCACATCGGGCTCCCTGCTCAGCGGGGAGTCTGCTTCTTCCTCTGACCCTTCTCCCTCTCATGCTCTCTATCTCATTCTCTCTCTCAGATAAATAAATAAAATCTTTAAAAAAAAAAAAAGAAGAGGACTGGAGGAGGGCTGGGAGGGCAGGCTGGGGTGAGTTTTACAGTGTGAGAAGATGAAGTGCGTGCATTCACGGGGAGATAAAGGAAAATGTGCACAGATAAATTGCTAGTTCTAACTATACAGCCTTCACTGAGGAAGGCAGGCTGCCAAGTGGAGGGTGGGTTGGGAGAGCCCTATCAGCAACAATGAGAGAGCAGGCGGGTGGGACGAGGGACATTGGGAGCTGATGGTGGTGCCGAGGACCTATATGGCCACCTGGAGCATGTCAGGGGGCCATAACAGAGATGGAGGAAGGAAGGAGAAGGTACTTTTCTGTGCTCCTGTGTCCCCCACGATTTGGCAGGGACAGGGACAGGGACACACGGTGGTAGAGCCTTGGATACCATTAACCATAGCCCTCTCTCTGAGAATTTCTTTGGCTTGCTAGGTGGTGCTATCGGGCAGAAATATTTTCACAGAATGCAAGTAGTTAGCAATTTTTTAAAAACTTAGATTGGGAGTTGGGAATTCCAGGTAAGGAAAAGTGTGTTTGGGAAGATGTGGAAGGAGAAGGAGCCATACAGGAGTGTCTGGGGGTGATGGTGGAGATCACGGCCTGCTGAGAGGAGAGCAGGGTGGGGACAGTGGGCAGGGCCCTGACAACCAGCACCAAGGTGCTGGTAAGTCCCCTGAGCCACTCTTAAGAGTAGCATCTGGTCTCCCTGCCATCCCAGCCTGGGGTCCCCCCTTACCTGGCTGTCCAGGCCCAGGAAGATGAGCATCATGAAGAACAAGGTGGCCCACAGTGGGGAGAGAGGCATCATGGTGACCGCCTTGGGGTAAGCGATAAAGGCCAGGCCAGGGCCTAGAGAGGAAGGAGAGAGAGAGAGGGGCTGGGTGCAGCTCAGTCCCTCATTCAATTGTTATTTTAATCCATCATATATCTAGTGCCTCCTTTGTGCTAGGTACTACGCCTAATTCTCCCTCAAATCACATAAATCTCCCAGCCACCCTACGTGGTTTGTACCATTAGGATGCCCATGCTGGGAATGAGCCAGCTGAGGCGCGGAGAGGTAAGAAAGGGTCAGGAGGGGTCAGGATTTAAAGCCAGACATCCCTCTGCACAGTCCTGTCTCTATTGTTCGCACTGGGGCAGACATGCGGGTGGTGGCTTCTTAATACAATGCAGATTCTCGGGCCCACCCCAGAGACACTGATTGGGTCAGTCTAGGGTGAGGCAAGGACCAGGCACCAGGTGATTCCAACGCGGGAGCAAGAGTCCAGGCTTGGACGAACGCCGTTCTACCCCAGGCCACCTCTTCCTGTGGTTCCTCCCCTCATTTCCCGGGTCCACACTCACTTATTTTGGCTGCTCCAAAGAGAGAGCTTGGTTAGCACGTCCTGAGGATGAGCTTTATTAATATCAGGGGAGAGATACCTGATGTTCTAGACCTGTAGCACAGTGGTCAAGGGCACGGGTTCTGCAGTCAGGTGGCCTGGGTTCAAATCCTTGTTCTTTACTGGGATCTCTATCTGTTTCCTCAGCTGAAAAATGGGGATAATAAAGTCCTACCTAATAAAGTGGTTTTGAGAATTCAGTAAGATGATGCAGAATATGGAAAGCACTTAAGGTAAATGTTCAATAAACATTAACTCTGATCATTTTTTTTACCTTAATTAAAAGCAACCTTATTAAAGTCTAATTTACCTACAATAAGCACTCATTTTAAGTGCACAGTTCAATGAGTTTTGAAGTATGTATACCCAGATAACTTCATTCAAGATATAGAACATTTCTATTGCCCCCTCGGGCTCCTCTGTAGTCTCTCTCTCCCCATGCCCTGTCTTAGCTCCAGGCAATCATTGATCTGATTTTTTTTCACCTTGTATTAGCTTTGCCCATCTTATTTAGGAGTGGAATTGCTGGGTCATATGGTAACATATGTTTAACTTTCTAAGAAATGCCAAACTGATTTCCAAAGTAGCTGTCATTTTACATTCCTATCAGCAATGTTTGAAGGATCCAGTGGCTCCACATCTGTGCCAAGTCTTGATAATATCAGATGTGGCGTTCTCTTCACATATCTTTGTTGTCCGTTCATAAATCTTTTGCAAAGTCCTTGTTGAGTCTGCCCATTTTTTGTTGAGTTGTCTCCTTTTTCCTGAGTTGTGGGAATTCTTGATATATTTGGAATACAAATCCATTATCAGAGGGGTATTATTAATATTTTCTCCTAGTCTGTGGCTTGCCTTGTTATTTTCTTAATGGTATCCTGTGAAGAGCAGAAGTTTTAAATTTTCCACTTGTTTGTTGCTAGCATACAAAAAATATAATAGGTTTCTGTTTACTGTCCTTTTATCCTGTGACATTACTAAGTTCACTTAATTTTTGTACGGTTTTCTAAGTGGTCAATCATGCTCATTCATAAATACAGTTTTTATTCTTCCTTTCCAATCTTAATTATTTTTATTTATTTTTCTTGCTTTATTGCACTAAGAACTCTAGTACCATATGGAATAAAAGCAGAAACAGCATACATCCTTGCTTTGTTTCTGATGTGAGGGGCAAGTATTTAATATTTAGTGGCCAGGAGATTAAGATTTGTGCAATACTATTGATTAAACTACAGACCTTTTCATTATCTACCAGTTTTTCTCCTTATGTCCTTTTTTTCTGTTCTAGTATCCAATTCAGGATTCCACACTGCACTTCATCGATGTATTTATTTACTCTCCTCCAATCTGCAACAGTTCCTCAGTCTTGTCTTTCATGACCTTGATATTTTTGATAAGTACTAGTCATTCTTTTGCAGATTGTTCCTCAGTGTGGGTTTGTCTGATGTTTTCTCATTATTAAACAGAAATTATACATGTTTTGGGGGCAAGAACATCATAGAAGTGATGCTGTGTCCTTCTCAGTGCATTATGTTGGGAGGGGTACGTGATGTCCACAAACCTTAATATTGGTGATGCTTACCTTGATCACTTGGTTAAGTTGGTGAATGCCAGTTTTCTCCACTGTAAAGTTACTGTGTTTCTCTTTATAATTGATAAATATCCTGGGTAGGATACTTTGAGATTATGAAAATATCCTGCTTCAAGTAAAACTTATACCCACTGATTTTAGCATCCATTGGTAGATCTTCCTTGCAACAATTATTCCTGTGGTGTTTGCCTCACAGGTTTATATTTTCTTCATTCCTTCTATACTTTATTAATTAGAATTATTCTGTAAGAAAGAGCTGTCCCTTCACACTCATTTATTTATTCAATTTTTATTTATTTCAGTATGGACTGTTAGGTATTCAGTTTATTCTATGGATCACAATCCACTACTATCATTATTTATTCTGCTATTCAAGTTGTTCTAGGTTTTGCTACTAGGAGCTTCTTCAAGTTGGTTCATATATCCTTTTGACATACCTTCATCCTTTTTCTCAGCACTTCCTTATTTCTGGCACCACTAAATGTTCCAGCTTCATCATGTCTTGCCCCAGCACTGGAATCAACGGCTTCTCCAAGAAGCCCTGGTTCCTTTCATGGAAAGTGGTGTTCAGAAACCAAGATCTGGCTTCTGGGTATGTTCATTGCTACCAGGGTATCACTCCTTGCAGGCCCTCTCAGCACACAAAGCTAGGAGACCTATGTCTGTATATCTACACGTACATACACATATATATATTTCTATATTTATCAGGATATATATTAAACCCATGAGTCTATCCTGACACCTCAAATTCTAATACAGCTCATTGTACCTTCTCCACTTTCCTTATTTGTAACTTCTTTCTCAGTGAAAAATCTGTCTCTAATGATCTATATTGACTTGTTTGTTCAGTCCTCACATAGACGTACAATAGTTACAGAATTACAAACCCATACCCCTGTACAAACAATAGTATAGTAGTTTTTGTTTTTAGCCTCATAGTGTACAGTCAAAATACTATTTCCTGAAATTTACTTAGGTTAGGTCTTTTCTTTCACATTCTCTTCAATGTGGTTACATTATTCATTCATAATACACTTAGGTTCATTTCTTACTGTTTGTACTCCCTTTTAATTCCACTCCCAAAAAGGAACTGTTTATTTTGGGTGCTATGTAAAACATTACTATTACCATGGTTCTCGAAGAGTCAGACCTAATGAAAATATACTAAGAGAAGTATTGTTTCTTTCTCATCCTTACTTAATTCCACCCTTCTTTATATCCCTTGTCCACTCATCCTCTGCAGGTCACCATTGTCTTTATTTTCTAGTTTATCCTTTACATATTTCTTCTGAACAGATGAGCAGACATGCTCTTTTTTTTAATATCTCCTTCTTTCTTACACAATGGGTAGGATACTACAGATATTTGCTTTTTTAAACTTACATACACACACACATACACATTTACCATTTAAAAAATACCCTTCAATATCCATTTACTTGATTATTTTTATATTGTGAATTAATGTTGAATTTTTCCAAAGACTTTTTTATATCTATGAAGATAATTTTGTAATTTATTTCATTTGGGCTATCAATATGGTATACGATATTAGTGGATTTCCTAGAATTAAACCAACCTTGCATTATTCCAGGAGGAAATCCAACTTGGACATGGTATATTACCTTCTTAATGTGATTTTGGATTCTAATGTTTCTGATTTGGGTTTGCTAATATTTTATTTACTATTTTTGCATCAGTATGGATGAGTGATGTTTTGTTTCTTTGCCCTATTTGGTGTAGGTATCAGTGTTACACATACTTCATATAAGGAGTTGAGAAGTTTTCCTTCCCTTTCAATGCTCTTCAATAATTTATAGAGCACTGGGACTATCAGATCCTTGAAGGTTTGACAGAATTATTTGAAAAACCATCTGGACCTAGTGTTGTTTTTGTTTCTTGTTTTGTTTTGTTTTGTTGGTGGGGTAGTTCCTCAATAACTTTGTCTATTGGGTTGTTTAAGCTTTCTAAATTAAATGCGGTTGATTGTGGCAATCCATTTTCCATTTAATCTAAGTTTTCAAATTTATGTATAGAGAAGACTATAAAGCAGTCTCTTGTGATTTTAAAAAAATGTCTTCTGCTTCAATGGTTATTTCTCCTTTATTATTTATTTCATTATTTGTATATTCTCTTTTTTTTCTTGGCAATATGGTAATTTGTATATTTTTATTTTTAAAGACCCAGAATTTTAATTTGTTAATTAGATCTACTGTTTCTCTATAATTATTTAATTCATTCCTGCTCTTTATTATTTCCTTTCTCATGCTTTCTTTTGGTTCACTTTGTTGTTGTTTCTCTGAACAGGGGATGTAATTAATTTGTCATTCTTTCACCTTTACTGATAAATGTGTTCAGTATACTTTTCTCATATTATTAGTTTATTTCTATCTATGTCTCCTTGTACTTCTGCAGTTTTGTTTCATAAAGGTTATTGCTGTGTTATTTGGTGTATTTATTTTTATGTGTTATATCTTTATTGCAAATTGTAGCTTTTACCATTAAAAAAAATGTCCTTTGTAATGCTTCATGATTTGGGGCTTGAATTCTACTTTGCCCAATATCAGGATTGCTTTCATTGTCTATCCCTTTATTTTTAGTCTTTATGAATCATTCTGTTTTAGGTGTATCTCTTACATACGCTATATATGTGTATGTGTGTCATATTTTGTGAGGCAAATTGAAAATCTTTTTAATAGAGGAGTTAAGCCCATTCACATTTATCAATATGACTGATATTTTGACAAAATATTTTATGGTTATGTGTATTTTAAAATATTTGTTATGTTTCTCTATAAGTTGTGTATTCTTTGTCCTTTTATTTGTAAATGTTTTTTGGTATATAGGAAGGTTTATGTTTTTGTTCTAGTGGTTAC